AGTCATTGAGATCCCTCCCATGATGCTCTCTTCCTGATGACCACAGAGGGGACAAAAGGCTTCTTCTCCAACCTCTGGCCACAGCTGACTATAAGTCGTGGTCACAGAATTTAGTGTCAACCTGACTGGAGCATTATTTCCGAACGTGACCATGAGGGATTTCTGAGGAAACTGATTATATATATATGTGTGTGTGCCTGGACTCTGTGGGCAAAGCCCACTCTCATCACAGGTAGACAGCATGCAGCCAGCCGGGAGCTGCAGGGAACAGAAAAGATTGCCTCTGTGTCTCTCCTGGGACATACATGCTCTTCCTGTGTCCTCAGACTGCAGGTCTGCTGGGCTCTGGACTCTGGGTTGTGGACATGTGCTGGGTCCTCAGTCTCTTGCCTCAGACTGAACTCACACAAGTGGCTTCCCTGGTCTGTGTTTTTGAGACATGGACTGAGCCAAACTACCAGTACTGCAGAGCTCCCACCTGTGGAAAGCCTGTTGAGGGAATGCTCAGCCATATGGGCCAAGCCCTCTAAGAGCTGTTGGCCCTGCGGAACTTCACTTAGATTCCAAAGGATGCTGTGGTCATCCTAGGGGCCAACAGAGAGACTTTTCTCAAGAGCAGGCCCCACAGAGGGTCTCCTCTAAGCCAAAGTGTAGGAGTATGGGAGCCCCTTGAGAACCTGTAACTACAGAGTGATCAGTGTGCAGCTCTAGTCTAGGAAAATTTCCTGGAATGAGAAGAGGCACACCCTAAAACCCTTGTCTACCTTCATCCCCATGCCTGGAAAGAGAGAGGCCTGTGATTGTTGCTGGATCGTAAGGGCTCTTTTCAAACACAGGCACTTGAATGCAAACTCCAGCTGTCTGAGTGCCATTCCAGCACTCAGGAGGCTGTGGATGGCATTAGTGGTCCAGTAGAATCAGAGGAAACAGCCCATACTCCTCTACTTCAAATCAAACCACCAAGATGGTGGTCTCTTTCCTCCCCTCTCAAGTCACAATGTGGAGTTCTGCTTATATAGTACTTTAGGGAACTAGGTCAGGGCAACACACCTCCTCAGAAAGCTTTAGGTCAGGTCTGGAGACACAGGTTTGTCAGAGCAAGGGACAGAGGTGCTGCTGTCGCCTAGTGAGAGGCTTCACCCAGGGATTCTAACCTCCTGTAACACATCAGTCACAGAACCAAGAAGCATGCTCTACTGTGTCAGAAATCTCGCTGGGGAGATGAATGGAGTGGAAGATTTACTGTGCTCTCAAGATGCTGACTTCTGTAAGTCTAAATGGAAAAACAAAACAAAAACCCCATGCTCTAGCTAGAAGTCTGAAATAGCAGTTACAAAACTTGGAAGGCGTCACTGCAGACTGGAGCCTGAGCTCCTCCCTACCCTGAGTTTGCTCTTCTGCAGAACAGAAGTGGAGGGCAAGGCCCCTTCTCAGTGCACACTGCCCTGTGAAGGTCAAAGACATTATGCCAGGGAAATCCCTCCTGTGGCCCCAAGTTCCTCAGAGTCATGAGCAACTCTTTAGATCCTGGAATGCTAAAGTGCAGACTAGACGTGACTGATAAGACCTTTCCCATCGTCCCCTTCCTCAATTACCCAGTGCTCTTGTCCCTGGGGCTTTAGGGGTCATTCCCTGATGACAGCCTGGAAATCTTGTATTCATATGCCTACTCAAAATGGTGGACAGCTCAGGAAGTCTTGCTGTGATGAGCCACACAGACAGGTGGCGACCATAGTCACTGGTGACTGTGATTACAGTGAAGGCTAAGAAGGAAACCTCTTTCCTGTTCCACTCAGCAGGCCGCATGGTGAGCACAGGAATCTTGGTTCTGCCTCACACCAGCAATGCTCCTGTAATGCCTGCCTAAGCAGAGAAAGGACAGCCAAAACACTCAACATCGTGGACACATCCTACTTAACTGCCAACTCCTTTTCTAACAGTTGTGCCACGTGGGCACAGCCTGAGAACTAAGTCTCCTTCCTCCTACTTGTGAGATTTCTGAGCCAAGTAAGACCAACATCTGTCCTTGTGTCTTTGAATGGAAGGCACCTCGCATGTGCAAGTTTCCTGGAACATGATTAATATGGACGACACTGTCAAATTCTCCACTGTGAGCAAGAGTGAGAAGTCCCCTCCCCTTTAGGAGTAAACAATGAAGTCTTCTGAGAGTCAGGCTCAGAGAAGGCAAGCTGCAAGGAAGACTGAGACCAGCCCAGCTGCCTGGAAAGTAGTCTGAAAAGAATCAGCAATGGAGAAGCCTGGAAGAGAATTTTACAAACTGAGCCACCTGGAAAGGACCCTCTTCAACCTGGTGAGCTCCTGCAGGCTGTGCAGTGTGCTCCAGATCGTCAACTTTCGTGAGCTGTCACCCATGCTGGGGTGGGCTTTGGAGACAGAGCTGATGGATTCCATTCTTTGTGCTGTTACTTCTTTCCCCGTGTTCCTGGGGGTGGAGGCCAGGCCTCAAGCATGCTGAACACACACTCTGCCCACGAGCTACACCCAGTCCTGATCCTTTATCCTCTCAACAGCCTGTAAAGTACCCAGTATTAGAATCCCCAGATATCAGGAAAAGGGAGCAGGAGGGGTCAGCATCCTCTCAGATAGAAAGTGACCGGGTGGCAGATCTGAGAATCCGTTTCCAGTGTCCACCGCCTCCTGGACACACGGTCCTCACGGATTTCTAAAAGGAGTGTGCTGAGGCTGAACTCCCAAGTGGGTCAGAAGGGACGGGAATGATCAGCTCTGTGTCCTGCCTGCAAACATGGCTGTCATTTCTCGTAATAGATCATACACAGAAGAGAGGTGTGTCCTGTTCATGGAGATGGAACCCCTCGTGGGCAGACCGATATTTCTTCCGCTCCAAAAGGTGTCAGTGTGAGAACTCCAGTTCTGAAATGAGAAAAAGCAGACTCAAGGTCAGCAGCTCCGCCCCCAGGTCTCCTCCCTGTCTCCATCTTCCTCTCCTCTTTCCCTTCCCTCCCTTTCCTCTCCTCCTCTCTGCCCTCTCCTTTCCTAGACCCCTCCCCTCCATCTCTTTCTGTCTCTCTCTCCTCTTCTCTGGATGACTTACCTGCTCCATTTCTCCTTCCTTCCTCTTCTTCCTCCTCTGTCGTCTTCTCATCAATGTCTCCCTGCCCTTTCTATCACCGTCTCTCTAGACGCCATTCTTGCACGGTGCCCGGATGGGGCGGGAACTCAATGCAGAAATGAGTGGGAAGAAGGAAGAGTCAAGCAGGGAATTAGGACTGTTCAGATGAGTCAATGCTAGGAACAGAGGGGGTGAGAAATGTTAGAAATAGAGATCGTTAGGCCCTGATGGAGAACATACGGGTAGAAAAATAATTCTGAAGAAATCAGGATGCTTCGCTGCTTTCCCCACACGAGCTCTGCTGAGGAATTCAGAATTGAGGGGTCTTGGAGCGGAACAGAGCACACCTAGGTACCAAATTCTCAGGACAAAGAAGAGGACAAGCTGGGGGCTGCCTCTGGTGGGCAAGGACAACCTCTGGTGGCTTCTCAGGAGTGGACTTTAAGGAGAAAAGGGGGGTCTGGCTAGGGTGACTTGGTGAGTCCTGACTGGACATGCTAGTCAGTTTAGTCAATGGTGAATTTTGATTGCTGGACCTTGGTGATCAGGAATGAGCCGGGCATAAGGAAGTGGCCAAATTAGGGAATGGCCCTTGGTGGCTAGCTTTAGATGGGAGAGGACAAGGTCTGTCAGCACCGTGTTGGCAATGCTTGGCCTGTCAGAGAGCCCTTCATTCCCACCTTTTTGTTTTATTACTGGGTCATTGCATGTCGAAGTGGGTGTCGTTCTTCTAGCTACTGCCCGCTGGTCGGGGCAAAAGTCAAGGAAAGGGAGTCATTAGTCGAAAGGGATTGAAGGCAGAGCCAGAGGAGGAGGAGGAGGGAGGAAAAGTAAGAGGCTCAGGAGGAAAGTATAACAGCCAGGAAGTTCTGGGTTGAGGAGCTGGAGGGAGGGAGGGGCAGCATTCCCTCTGGCAATTTCCTACTGACACTGGGGCATCATTGTTAGGGACCCAAGGAAGCTGGGATGCTGGCCAAGTAAAAGCACTTTCACTCAGAGTAATTGCTGAGGAGAAAATCTAGGAATAGCACCTGGCTGAGGAGAAATAAAAACTTAATTTGCACAAGAAAGAAGCTTGGCACCTATTGCCTGCCTGGCCTGGAGGCAATCTCCTTGGGTCAGTGGGAAGTAACTCCCTTAACTCAGTAACTAACAAAAGGCTAAAACATCATCCCAGGAATGGGAGCAGTAAATCTCTTAAGTTAGGGTCCTGTGTATCTTGTGTAAATAACCCGGGGTGGAGGTAAGGGGTTGAGGATTTAATTGTTAGTGGTTCTTTTCTCTATCTGTGAGTGAGATGATCTAATGTTTATCTATGTGCAGTTTTGTCCTTGGAAAAAGGTATCTTTGCTGAAATACTTTTGTCCGGAGAATGGCCCTGGCCAGATGTATGCTAATGAAAAATAAACACAGCTAAGGGCAGTTATCCAATTACCCCAAATGTATAGGGAAAGTTGTGCCCAAGATTGAGATGCAATCGTGAGAGTACATGTACACTAACATGGAGATGCATGGTAAATGGGGAGACTCATAGCTGTTACTGCACAAGAAGTTTACAACAAGAGACAGCCAGTTCATTCAAAAGGCAGGAATCCCATAACGCCTTGTGTGATGGTTTCCTCTAACAGAACCCTTAGTTCTGATAGGTTGGCCTTCTGAACACTAGTTGTCACTGCTGTACACTCTCATGGACTTTCACTACCAGCGGCTCTCAATACTTATGTCTTCTTTAAACCTTGCAGCCTCTGCCCACCATGGTCTAAAACCCATTAAACCAGCATCCTCAATGAGCTCCAACTCCAGCAGGAGATCTGAATCCTCTTCCTGCTGGAGCCTGGCCCTGGGTCACCTCCTGAATTCTCTCTTCCATGTCCTTACTGTGTGGCTGCTGTGAGCCCCAGAACCAGTTCCCCTGAGCCTTGTTGCCCTTTCATCCCTGACTGCGATCCGTGCTCCCCTCCGTAGACCTCCCCTCAGCTGCCAGGGAATGACTTCTCTTGCAGTCAGCTCCCCCACTTCCCAGTTTTCCTGGGCCAGCTCCCTGCAGAAGCCTCCTGGTCCCTCTTCTGCCTTCAGGGGCTTCTCCTCCTTCCAACTGCCAGCAATGGCCGCACAGAGCTGATATCTCACAGGTGCCTTAAATTCCACACACTAGGACTGAACCCCCTTCCAAACTCAGTCCTCCTCTAGATGCCCTACTCATGCTATGAGAGGATCACTGTCATCCCCATGAGTCCAACTCTAAGCCTGCCCTGTCACAGACTCGTCAACCTCTAGTCCTCATTCCCAGAATCTCTGAACCCCCCCCCACACGCACACACAGCCATCACCCTCTCTTTATCATTGGGGTTTAGCAGCTCCCCAACCTTACCTGTCCTCCCCGTCTCAACCAACCTTGCAGCCCCTTCATTTGAACATCTGGAGTCTGCTTAGGTCATGTCGTTGTTCTGCCCAAAATAACCGGAAGAGGTCTCCCTCTACTCAAAAGCACTACTGTTCTTCCTGCCCACCCTGGACAATGGAGCCCAGGGCTCTGATGGGCCATATATCTGCCATCCTTTTCTGATACCAACCACAAATCCCAGTCCACAGGACTGCTCACTGATGCAGGAGCACAGTGAACCTGTGCTCCTCCCCCATGAGACTCCCGACTGGTCCCTCTTTACGAGTCACCATAAATCACCTCAGGTGTGCCCCCTCTTTCTCTGAAACCCACAGTGCTCTGTATTTACCTCCGGAAGACTATATATAGTACAGGTGCCTCATGTGAACAGGTGCTCATTCTCTGTGTGATCTCCCATTTGTGTCCCCAGGCACGGCAGGCAGACCGGTAAGAATTTATACACTTCAACAGAGAAGGATGAAGGCCCAGGAACCTGCCTCCCAGCCCAGCACTTCCTGAGACCTGAGTTCAAGTGTCTGTGATCTCTCCAAGTGTAGAAATAAACCACCTGATTGTGGCTACAGCTGTCACAGCCATGAAAAGCAGCTTCTCTGTGAGTTTCGGGTCTTGAAACAAGAAAAACACTCTGAAGCACTCTCTAGGGAAGGAACTGTGTTTCCTTGAAGATCAATAGAAGTGTGCACACATGTGCAAACACTTGAAAATATGACTGAGGAGCTCTTTGGGTGTGCACAAAGTCAAGTGCTCGCCATGAAGAAGAAAATGCAATCACCAGAATGAGGTCTCCTGGCTTATTTAAATGTGTCATATATGCAGGTTTTAGGCACATGGTCTCTGGAGCATGTCCTTATCTGTCCTATGACAGCTGTCTTTGGCCCTAGCCTCAAAAGGAACTGAAACTCTGAAGAATTACTTTTAATAACAGATAAAGTTTAGATGTGTTTTTAAAGCCCTCAACGTTGGGACACAAGCAGTCGTGAGTGCTCAGAGACAAAAGAGACAGAATGACTTGACTCTGCTGAGAGAAAGACTTGGCCAGTGTCCTTCTAAGAGACAGAGAAGAGGAGGCCCGCCCTCGGGAAGGTCAGATTTGCTTCCGTGGATCCAGCCTAGGGTGAGCAGCCCCGGTTCCTGTGTAAGGAATGGCTCTTCCCACCCGTCCTGTGACAACGCTCATGCCCTCTGTTCTGCCCTGGGAAAATCACGTGTTGTGATTTCCTCCTCTTTCACCTGTTAAGAGAGGAGAACTCTTCACAATTTCCTGTCTTCACAGTTCCCTGTCTTCACAATTCCTGTCCTCACAGTTCCCTGTCCTCACAGTTCCCTGTCCTCACAGTTCCCTGTCCTCACAGTTCCCTGTCTTCACAGTTCCCTGTCTTCACAATTCCCTGTCTTCACAGTTCCCTGTCCTCACAGTTCCCTGTCCTCACAGTTCCCTGTCTTCACAGTTCCCTGTCCTCACAGTTCCCTGTCTTCACAGTTCCCTGTCCTCACAGTTCCCTGTCTTCACAGTTCCCTGGCCTCTGGGTCCCACTCCCTCCTAGGAGGGAAGCACCCTCCCCCACCTCCACCACCTCAACCCCACCCACAGGCCTCAGTGAATGACTCATCTTTCTCCCTCACCTCAGTGTTTCACAGCCTTGGCTGTTCAGCTTTGCTGGGGTGCAGTATTACGCCACAGATGCCAAGGTGAACCTGAGATGTCCCCCTAGCACATGCTAGGCCTAGCTGGCCTGCTCAGGGTTTTTGAGGTGTCATAGGAAGAGCCCCACCCTCAGCTGCCTAAAGCAGCTTCCCTGCTCAGGCCTCAAACCTCTAGGTGAAGTTCCCTTCAAAGTTACTCCTTGACTTGTTTGGAAATGAGGTATGGGTTCAAGCGCTCCCTCAGTGGCCCTGCCGTCCTCACAGTCCCTACATCTCCTAGTGAACACACTGCTCAGCACTCTCTCTATCCAGGGTTCCTTCCGTCTCTGCAAAGGACTGCACACTTTATGGACACGCACGAAGACCTTAGATAATTTATGTCCCCAGGCCACCCTTCAGGAGGAGCTCAGAACAGGGCGAAAAGGAACTGAGTCCTCTGTTTAGAATGAGTCAACAAGCCAGCCTTCCTGCCTCATGCCAGCCTGTCTGCCTGCTTGTCTGCCTGCCTTCTTTTCCTGTGAGACAATGTCTCACACTCCATCAGAGGCTGGCCTTGACCTTGTAGGAAGCCTCTGGTCTCAGTTTGCAAAGGGCTGGGAATACTGGCATTAGCTACCAGAAGAGTGAATATTTCTAATTATCACATTGAAACAAATTGATAATTCGAGGGTCTCTGAAAAGCAACTGTTGGACCCCAAAGTTTAGGGTCTCAAGTGGGTACCCCAAGAACCCAGACTCCAGTCCAGTTGATGCAATAGCATGAGGTTTTATTATTAAAGCTTCTGTACAGTAGGGCAAACTTTTGTCCTGAGAGCAAGAGCTGCAACTTACTGCAGCCCCATGGGGGCTTTTAAAGGAAAAACAAAAGCCATAAGATTACAATTCCCATACAATTTCATTTCACAAGATCATGGTCTGATCACAGAGTGGGTACAGTTACGTCAAGAGGTACATTCTTCCTGAAACTTCAATGGGGGTATCAGGGCAGGAGTGGAGTTTACCAAAGGTCACAGTGGTCCTTCGTGGAATACCTGCAACTATCCCAGTCACAGTTGAGCACATCTCTTAACAGAGATCTCTTTACATTGTTACATTGTGACAGGGGTGATTGAACAATGGCTGAGTCAGCTTGCTCTTGGAACTAGATTTTTAATTTCTCATTTCCTGAGGCTAGGGGGGTGGGGTGTAAGCCTGAAGGGTTAGGGTCTTTCACAACCAAGTATGAAGTCATCAAATTCAAAGTGCCCAGGCCTTTCTACCCCGTTAATTCTGTGGAGTGATATATACAGACTCCGACCCTGGATAGTTCCCGGAGAGTCACTGGCAGCCAAGAGGGAAGAAACAGTCTCAGATCAGGAAGAAGTTTTCATATGTTTATCAGTGTACCACATAGGACACCACAGCTTTCTGTCCCTCTCCGAATGTGCCTTCGAGAAAATGGAGGAACTGCGTGCACAAATCACGTGACATTACCACAGGGCACAGAACTCTGATGTTCAGAACTGGAATGAACAAAAGAGAGTAGTCTGAGCCCACAGGACCCTGTTTCCCCAAACAAGACCAGGCATCCTGGGATAGAAATGCTAAGTCATTGGGATTTCCTGCATGAGCTCCTCTTCCTATTATTATACCACACGTGGGCAGAAAATTTCTTCTCAAACGTCAGGCCAAGACTGACTGGGAACTGTGACTGTGGACTTTGCTCTCAGCTTGAGTGGATGGAGCAAAATTTCTGGATTTGACTATGAAGTGATTCTAAAGAAACTTATGTAGGGGTTCACTGGCTCAACGCGGGTGGGCAATGTGAAACCATCTGGGAGCCACAGGACAAATTGGTATAGAAAAAGACACTTCCTCTGCGCCTCTCCTGGGATAGGCATGCTTTCTTTGTCGTTAGTGCATATCTCCAGGTCTGCTGGCCTCTGGCCTCTGGCCTCTGGGGTGTAGACTTGTGTGTCCCTGTATCCTCAGGTCTCTCCCCTCAGACTGAAACTCACCAAAGGGGCTTCCCTGGTCTGTGCCTTTCAGACATGGACTGCACCAAACTGCTCTAAGTATTCCAGAGCTTCCACCTTGCAGAAATTACCACCTGTTGAAGGAATGCTTAGGAATATAGCCACAGAGTGTCCCCAATAAAGCAACATTGTTGGGATAGGGCAGTGCCTTGAGACCCTGGAACTGCAGGGTGATCAGTGTGCACATGGCAGCCTGGAAAAACTGAAGCCCAAGTCTCCAACTATGTGTGAGGACGGTGCATTAAGCTTAGAAAAGCCACAGTGACAGGGTCTTCAATCTAGCTGAGACCAGTCACCCCTTTCCCTTTCCCTTTCCCAGATGACCAGGAACTGAACAGCTTACTCCTGCTCCTTCACTGAATTTTGCAAGTGTGTGGATTCCTGAGTGCACAGGCTCACAGCTGGGGAAAACATCTGACTCTCTCACCTGCATCTGGAAGTGTAA